GGGGAGTTGTAAAATGAGCCTATTTCCAAAAAAAGTGGAGTATCTCTTTAAGATGCGTTTAAATACAGGTGTAAACAGGGTCTAAAACGTTTTGAGCTTGTCCACTTTCGACCACTTCCTGTAGTCGACCAGATTGCTTGCATATGCCCTGTTTACACCTGTTATTAAGATGCGTTTTGGTCGATCGGATCTCCAGTAGACGAGGCAGACACATTCCCGTTTACACCTGGTATTTTAATCCGTCTCTTTTGTCCACTTTCAACCACTTCTGTCCCGATTTCTTCAAGTGAAGGGTCTATGGGTAGGTAAATGCATGGTCTTTTTTTCAGATCTTTTGACCTAATGGATGAAATAAGCTCACACTATTTACTTCTGAATGCAAATTGTGTGACTGAAAAACACAGAGAGCAGCAGTTTTAGTTTTTGCTCGGATAGCCACAAGACCAGCCGAACGCTGTGAGTGTGTGTTAGAAATCAGGAATGGTGAGAGAACATTGTGCTTGGTTTGTTTTCGACTTCAAACCAATCAGTAGGTGGAGAGTGGGCGTCTTTTGCGGTTGTTCGACCTGAATTCCGCTGAAGACCCAAGTTTGGTTTGAAGACAAAAAAACGGATATCAAGCACAATGTTCTCTCACTATTCCTGATTTCTAGCACACACTCACAGTGTTCAGCTGGTCTTGTGGCTATCACAGCAAAAACTAAAACTGCTGCTCTCCGTATGTTTTTCCGTCGTCTCCAGTCACATTCATATGTAAATAGTGTGAGCTTATTTTGTCCATTAGATCGAAAGATATGAAAAAAGCCATCCACTTTAAGAAATCAGGACAGAAGTGGTTGAAAGAGGACAAAAGAGACGGATTTAAACTCCAGGTGTAAACGGAATGTGTCTCCCTCATCTGAGATCCGATTGTTTTATCAATTAGGGGCACTTTTGACTGCTCAAAATGTCTTTAAACTATTTCATCAATGAATGATAGTTGGGAATGTGTTGCCGTATTGGGGATAATACTTTTTTTTTAATTGTACATAAAAGCTAAATAACAATTTTAGTAAGCATTTCTTTACCTAAAATCACCCTAGGTGACAGAAGTTTCTCCAATTGAAGAATCACCGTTATGCATTTACGTGCAAGCATTGTTTGGTTTAATATACATATGTGAAGTCATGGGGAGGCATTACTATTTCTTCTAGCATGCTTTGTTAAATGGTTTTTGACATTAATAAATGAAAGAGAGTTCTTTACTTACTCTGATTAAGTGCAAGTGCAGGGGCATAGATAACCATGCCTGTGTATAAAGCCTATGAGAGATAACACCACCCATTAGATGATTGAACAAATCTCTTTTGCCTAAAATTCGTCAATATATTCAACATTTATGACTCTATGACGTGGAAAAGGCACATACACAACAGACATTGTTTTTCCAAAGTGATTCACGATGGCACAATCACTCGTCAGATGCACGTTTGGTTATGTATAAAGTCATGCAAGAAGCTAAAATCCAACTTACGGTTTGAGCAATATACATGCTGGTTCCAATCACTCGGATGAGCTTGTTGAAACGCATTTCCAAGTACTGCAAAAACAAGTGACCAATTCAATTAATTATTAGCAAACGAAACAACAAATTTACATTATATCATTTACATCATTACACAAAACTCAAGATTGTACGATGAACTATTACATACTGTTTTTCTCAGTTTAACATCATTCTTGTTTTAAAGGTTAATCGTAAGAATCGTGTGCTGATACCTTATCGGTGAAGAGTCACATCACCCGAACTCTTTTAGTTTGGCTGTTTTCGAAATACACTCAATGAATATATTCCAACTCTAAATATATCTTCTTTTTTTTTTTTTTTTTTTTTTGATATATTTCACTTTTTTATTTCATTTTAATTAGTCTTTTTCATATACACAGTGACCATTGATCTGTTTGTCAATAATCTATCCTGACATTTCCTTTTTCCTCTCTCGTCCTCATTGCATTTCCATCTATTGATTCTTTATCAAACACAGGCACAAATGAGGGTGTTTCCAGCCTGTCTCTGTTCTCTGTCCTCATGCAAACCCCTTGTGGCCAGTGTCGCTCTCTTACCTCGTATGTGCTGGTGATGCCCAGGCGGTAAAACAGAGGCACGAAGATTTCAGCGCTGATGATGGACATGATGGCATAAGAGAAGACAAAGGTCCAGAACGGTGTGCCGTACATGTACGCCTCTGCAGGGGTGCCAATAACAGTGATCCCTGACATGAAACTAGCCGTTAGGGACAAAGCCACAGGCACTGCGGTCATCTGACGGCCACCCAGTAGAAACTCTTCATTGCTGGTGTCCTTGCGTCCACGGATGGCTTGGAACAAGCCGATGCCCGCAGCGAATAGGATCAAGCCGGCGAACACCACATAGTCCCAAACTGAGAACGTCGCAACTGGACCTCCGCCCGGCATGATTTGGAAAAAGTGCTCTTTGAGAGACCCTAAAAAGTTATATACCCGGTGTCACGCCGGTCAGAAGTGATGTTCTGCTGGAAATTCCTTCCGAAGCTTTTGCCAACAGGAGGACGAAACCAAGTAGCTCCGGTCAGTGCCAATGACTGATAAGAATTCAAGTCTTCTGCAATCTTGGACCAGCAACAAAAAAACTTGGGTTAATGATCCCTCAAGGCCATACGATATATCAAGTTACATTGTAAAAGGAAGTGAATGTTTTTTTTTTTTATCCCTAATCTTGAAGGAGCAGTTTAGTCAAATTAAAATGAATTCAGGAGGATGCCTTGTGCTGACTTTAACCTCGCTTAGTCAGTCAACTCGTAGGTGATGAGGTAACCAGGTAAACCAATAGAAGAACTACTCTTTTAAGATCATTTTGAACAAGATCAGAGGACTTTCAGAATATGACTAACATACCACTTCATTGTGAGCCCATAGCAGGTCATGTCAAACTCCTCAGTTCCTGGTACTGTTTTGAGGTTTACTTGAAATAAGACTTTTGTTTTTAGCTTAAAAAGTTTCCTGTAGGTCGTGTTGAATCATTATCTATCGACGGGTCCAGGTAAATCAGAAACCGTGAGCATGCTTTCCAATCAGCTACAGCTTGACAGAAATACACGCGATAAGATAAAGCAATTATTAACCGCATATGAAACCAGGGTTCTATAGAAGGTTGATATGAGCAAGCAAAAGAGCTGTAAAATCTCATATAGACATTCAATGGCACAGGTGTACTGTAAACAGGAAACCTTACAATTCACGCCAGTAAAACAACATAAGTAATGGTGCTGTGACGGTTGAGGAAGTTAATCTGTGACACTGTCAAAACATCTTCTTGTTGTGATGCTGTTATGGGTGCTCCAAGCTGCAAAACAATTTTTAATGGCATTCTTTCTCCTATTTGAGCGCTGAAGATACGCATCACTCAGGTGGAAAGAATTGCACACATTTACTTTTCCATTCTCAATATTGTGAACTTTGCACACAAGATAAGGCCTGCGAGATTTATACAATGAGAGCTTGGTAAATTGACTGAACTGGCAGTGTGTATCTTTATTAAAGATCAGGAGTGTGATGATCTGCCAAGTGAGATGACTTAATGAAGCCCATTTGTTGCCATGTTTTGTTATAATACAGCTTGATTTGTGTACATAACCGACATAGGATATATTTCAACACTGAGTATCTTAGGAACACCAAAAAAGTGTTAAATGAATCCTGTAATTATTGTGGAAAAGTGACCATTTATGTGTTTATGCCAAAGAAGCTATCATACATTGGCAACATTGATACTGGATCAGACCCAAAAAGCTACTGTGTAGGAAAGGAAAATCCCAAATGAGATCTCCCTTGTTTCTCCTGCGAAAGCAGATGTAGATTCTCAGTTAAGTCTCCAGCTTCTCAGATTTTTCTCCTGGAAAAAAGGCTCTTATAATCATATGTCTGTTCATGAGATTAAATGAGATCTACAAGGGTCTACAACGTTGCAAACAAAGGTCAGAGATCTTAATATTAGGGTGTATTCCCACCTGCCTTGTTTGGTTCAATTGAATCGAACTCTAGTTCGTTTCCCCCCTTGGTGCGGACCTTTTGGGCAGGTGTGAATACAGCAATCGAACTCGGGTGCGGACCAAACAACCGAACCGAGACCCAGCTGAAGAGGTGGTCTCGGTACGGTTCCAAACGAACTCTGGTACGGTTCGTTTACGGTGTGAACATGAACCGACCCAATTGCAAGAAAGCACTGCGCCTTTGAGTTAACAGGCTTCCGTAGTCGGAGTTGCGTTATGGGAAAGTGATCTGTTGTAGCCTACATTACATCTGTTGCGCGTCTTTCTGTGCGTCGTGTGTGCATCATTGGAATGGAATGAATGAATGAGTGTGTGCATCAGGACATTCACATACAGAGCGTTCTCTTTAGGCTAATCGCGCATAGATGCAAAAAAAACAAACATTTGCAGTTCATATAATGTAACGATAGTTACAATACAAGGATGATAATGCGTTAATTTACTTTAAGCCTTTTTTGCACTTCCTGATTTCCCTACTTGAGAATCCTTGTCCAATGAATGGACTACCTTAGCACAAGTGTGGTTTTGTTTACACATTTTGGTTCACTTGCAAAAAGAGCAGTGTGAAAGCGAACCGTACCAAAAAACAATAACAAAATTATTTGGTCCGGACCAAACCAAGTGAACTATCGGACTTTCCTGGTGTGAATACACCCTAAGTAATGGCTTCAAATAGCTTCCAAGACCAAAATTAATTTTAATGATTAAAAACATGTCAAATAAAAAAATAATTTGTAGACTTTGTCTATTTATGTTTTTTTTTTTTTTTTTTTTTTTACTTGCTTTTAATTATTTTTGGATTTTTATTTTATTTTTAATGTTTATTTTGCAAGTCATTTTAGAAGAAACGTTTGAGACTTACAGTAAGTTGATATTTAAATGTAGCAGCAACCTCTCCTCTAGAAAAACCTTACTAATTGAGATGTAGTGTGAATATTTAGTAGGCCCTTAATAGTGGCCATGCAGCATGAAAGTGATTTGATTAGAAAAGAGTCGTTTTTATGCATGCTGCACTGTAGCTGATGATGGAGATAAAAGAGACAGATAGAGATCAGGTTCTGTGTCTGTATAAGAGCAGAAGCCTTTCAACACAAGCAGGTTTAAGCAGATCCTCCAGGTAAGTGGTCCTTTTGATTTACTATAACACTGCTGTTTGGCAGACAAAAAGTAGGAAAGACACATGAAAAGATAGCAATGAGATTCTGTATGTATCTTTGAGTTATAGTCCAAAAAGTGTCTTTCTCTTGGCTGACTCTTTTTCATCATGGACATATTTTTGTTGTTGCAAAACCATGCTGTTCCAGGCAAGTATAGGCAATGGAATGCATTTTTTTATTTTTTTCTTAACATGCATTAGACCAGAGGGGTTCTCAACTCTGGCCATTAAGGTCAACTTTCATGCATTGCTCCAACCCTAAACACGCCTTAAACAAGATAATCAAGATCGTCAGGCTTACTAGCTACAGGCAGCAGGTCAGTTTGATCAATGTTGGAGCTAAACTCTGCAGGAAAGTTCAGGAAAGACCACGAGTGCCAGAGTTGAGAACCCCTGCAAATTAGGGTTAAGAGTAGATCAAGTTCAAAACGGCTCTCCAAACTCATGTTTTTTCCATTCATCAGTGCTCTTCCCTGCAGTCGTGCGGCACCTCACATTTTTATTGCATAAACGCTTTCTGTGTGAATGACCCTTTACAGTTTTTTTTTCACTGTCAGTGGAGCTTCAAAATCATAGAAGCCTATTTCCACCACATATGAAAAAAATTATGACATAAAAAGTCAAAATTATGACATGCTAAGTAATATTTATAATATGAAAAGTCGACTTTGTCAATTATGAGATGAAAAGTCGAAATTATGACTAAAAAAAGTCTTAAATATGATATAAAAAGCTGAAATTATGACATGTTATAGTTATGACATACTAAGACAATTTTTACCTTTATTTCAGAATTTTGAGATAAAAAGTCGAAAATTATGACATAAAAAAGTCATAATTATGACACACTAAGCCACTGACAGTCATTGAGATAAGAGGTCGAAATTATGACATTCTATATCATAACTATAACTTTTTGTTATAATTTCTACTTTTTATCTCATAATTATGACTTTTTAATGTCAAAGTTGACTTTTTGATTTCAAAATTTAAACTTAATGTCATAATTTCTACTTTTTTATAAAAATTTGACTTTTCATCCCATAATTGTGACTTATTTCATAATTTTGACTTTTCATCTAATATCATTTCTTCTTTTTATGTCATAATTATACAAAAGCGTGATTTTTTTTTTCTTATGTGGTGGAAATAGGCTTCCATGAAATCATGATTAGAGTTACCTACTGTGCCCTTCAAGTGGAGACAGAAATATTATAATTATGAGTTCTGAGCACATGAATGAACGAGCATAGGCGAAATTTACGGGTGGAAAACTTAAAATTCTAGATGATACATGAGTTGCAAAGTTGTGATGTTGGAAGGAGCGTGTTGATTTGAAAGATAGATAATATATATGGATAATCTAGAGATTAGTGGGCAAGAGTGTAGCGAATGATGTTAATCACTCCACTTTCACAGTTTGCATCACATTTAGTTGTGAAACCATGTAAAAATAAGTGATAAAAATTTTCATCATTTTGAATTCAGATGTGGTTATTTGGATTAATTGTTCACAAAATATTTTGACATGTCGTAATAACTAATGCCCGACTCCGAGATAAGAGTTTCCCAGGTGCACTTGGCAGCATAACACAACCCTGGAAACCACACACAACAACAAGCCACAGTGGCAACTTGTGCAATCATGTGCTATCACCACTCACATTTCACAATAAATGCCAATTGCCAAATCCAGTTTAAGATGACTTTTAAATCATGTTGCCAAGTTTACTATGTCTATATCAATTTTTAATTATATTCACTGTAGTTCTCCATATCCCACTAACAGACATCCTGATACCCTGCCAGCTATAATGTCTCCTCTGTACGTGGTTGGCATGCTGGGACTTTTAATGAAGATATCAGCGCCTATGTGTGCCCCCACTGAGTACACCATTTACTTCGAGAGACAGGAGTGCAATTACTGTGTGGCTGTCAACACCACCATCTGCATGGGCTTCTGCTTTTCCAGGGTAAGCAGACAGTGTGAGGACAGAAAGTGAGGAGGGTTTTGTGGAGACTCTCCAGCATGCAGTGTGACAAGCTGATTTTAACAAAAGATGATATCTGTCACAGCCATGCCAAACCTGTGACTTTCGCTCTTCTGTGGAACACAAACGGGATTTTTCCATTCCATTCCATTTCATTTTGTGTTCCACAGAATAACAAAGATCAGCCTACTCTCTTTAAAGTAAATGTTCATTTTTGACATCTATTGTTCCGCGAAGAACCTTTAGGGTCCTATCTTGCACCCGGCGCATATGACTTTGTACACTGACGCATGTATCATCATTCCTATTTTGCACCCGCGCAAAGCGGGCTTTTCCCTCCACAGACGCATGTCGGTAAACTAGGAAATGAATTTGCGCTCCCTGGGCGGGTCGGCGCACAAAGGAGGCGTGTTTCGGCGCAAACATTCCCTCGTGCTATTTTGCAGTTCCAGAAAACAATTCCGCCACTGACCAGAAAAAACCTAGTCTAAAGTCAGAACTACACGCTCCCGGTCAGAAACAACCAATCAGAGCCAGGAGGAATGTCTTAGCAGTGTCAGTCACGCTCGTGTCCGCACTGATCACACCCCTCTCTTGCACAGCGCGAGCCGTCGTTCAAACTCAAGATTGCCGGCGTGCTGCAGCTGCGCTAATGACGGAGAAACAACCTAAACTGCCAATTCTCGAGTGACACCTGCTAATAAAACAAAGAGGTAAAAGGAAAAAGACCGATGAAGATAAACAAGCGAAAAAGAAAGAATTACACAGAGCCCATTGACTCGGTGTCAAAACTCTAGCCGCATAACATGTAGATAAAATGTCACGCACTCTGCTAAGCAACAATTGAAACCTGCTAATACACTGGCTTGTCATGTTGCTGAAATAATGTACTAGCACACCTTATCTAGCATTATATATCGCTAGAATAATTACTTACATAGACTACAGTAACGTTAGTTACCGTTATATTAACGTTATCTTACTAGCTATTTATAACTTATAGAAAGAGTGCAACGTTATAAAGTTACATGTAGGCTATTGCAAAATACATAATGAAAGTTTGTAGTCAAAGTATTGGCAGGCCATAGTTAATGTAAAGCATATTGTTGACGTTTAGTCCCTATTAGTGAATGTGCCATATATAACTTTTTATCCGCTGTTATGGGTGGCCCTGTTTACTAGCCTGCGCGTTCACGACAGGCTCCGCTGTGGAGGACGAGCTGTGGAGGGAGGTTGATGTTAGTAAGTTTTATAGAAGACAGAGGGGAAAAACTGTACCGTTAGTGACGGCAGTGCATCAGAAAATAAGGCGAAAGGAAGAAGTTAAAGATCAAGGAGGATAAAAGCAGTGAGGGTGATAACCGAGATGAAGACTATAAATCATAGATTGTTGTGGAAGTCCGGCATTTGAGTAGGCTACATTGCCAGTTTGGAAGATGTGATCCATACTACAACCAGAGGCCAGGAAAGACGCCACTGCCTATTGGCCTCACTACACAAGTAGGGATGCTCCAAAAATGATGACTAAACAGGTCAAAATCCAGTTATACACTGAAACCGAAGAGTCTTGTTGATTTTCACTTGTGCTACAATTGGTTTGGAATTCCAAGAAAGAAACAATGTTAAAGTTTTGTTTGATGTTTTTCATGGTGTCACTACTTTCCAGGCAGTGAAGTTACATCTGAATTTGTGTCAAGTTTTTCACATTTTCACATGTGAGTTCCAAATGACATACACTCGCACAATGGAATGTTAATAAAGCCCTTTGATGTTTTTTGAAACACTAAGACCTTTCCACTACATTTTAGACAGTGAAACTGCATTTAAGTGTGTGTGACGTTTCAGAAAATTTGCCAAAATTATTTACCCTACTAGGACAAAGTCAGTTATATATGACGGCACTGTAAAAAAGGTCAAAGGTCAGATTTTGGGAAATGATTTTTAGCCTTAAATGTATGTAAAATATAAAGTAATTTGTTTTTTTCTAGCTGTGACTTCATAATTAGTCCCAAAAATGTTAAAAGGGTTTAAATGTTCTTTACACTAAGAAAAACAAGGAATCATTCACTAAAAGTAGGGCTGCACGATTAATCGAAATTAAACCGCACGCGATTTGTCAAAGGCTGCGATTATTTTATGCGCAGCTTGTCAGTGAAGTACGGCTCTGTGATCGGTAGTAAATGCTGCTTCATCTGAAAGCCAGAGGGCGCTCTCACGCAGACACTCCAAATATGCCCCGCCACAGAAGTACAATAACACACATCATTCCAGGAGATCCCTATGGGCATCATACTATCGCTGTTGCTGAATAGACAGAAGATTGAAATGCTTTGATTGATTTATTAAATGTTGTGTTTTGTTGGACGAGAGGATAAATGCTTCTCATGTTTGGAAAGATGTTTGACGCGTGTTGCTTTTTCAAATGCAGGTTATAAGCGACTCGCAGTGCTTTCAGATGGAGCAGCATTTACTACTGATCACAGAGCCGTACGTAACTGACAAGCTGCCCATGAAAAATAATCACAGCCTTTGCGATTTCATAATTGCAATTATAGCGTCGGTGTATGAATGAGTGAGTGAATGGGTGAATGTGAGGCAATATGTAAAGCACTTTGGTGGCCATTGGGTCTGTGAAAGCGCTATATAAATGCAGTCCATTTACCATTAGCCAATTCGGTTTAAGCGCAATTTCCATGTTAATTGCGATCAATCGTGCAGCCCTAACTAAAAGTTTCTTTGATGAACCAAAAGTATTCTTCTATAACATTGCAACAAAAAACACCTTTTTTACGAACCATTCAGAAATGTCCTGTTGCCTTCTAAAAGTTGTAACTTCTTCCCGAGTCTCTCCATCTGTGTCCGACTCCGGTTCAAACATGTAAGGCTGAACACCGCAATTGACCATTTCTGACATTTTGCCTGGTGAGATTCTCCTGTTTTGTTGTTGCTGTATTTGAAGCATGCGCTGTAAAGGCTCCGCCCTGCTCTGGAAGCAGCAGCTCATTTGCATTTAAAGGGACTCACACCCAAAATAGGGGCAAATTCGACAAGCTGTAATAAATTATCTGTGTGGTATTTTGAGCTGAAACATCGCATTCTGGGGACACCTGAGACTTATATTACATCTTGTGAAAAGGGCCATAATAGGTCCCCTTTAAGAGTTTATGGGTATTGGTGTAAGAGTGAGTCAATTAATTTAATAAACAATTTCTTTAAGAAATAAACTGGGATATTCTAGATCATAACAAATGTTTTCTGAAATGATTTAGTGGCAATTTGGCTAAATATGCATCTCTACATTCGTCCTATAGGACAGTAATGTGAAGGAGTTGGTGGGTCCTCGTTTCCTGGTTCAGAGAGGCTGCACCTATCAGGAAGTCGAGTACCGGACGGCCATCTTGCCTGGCTGTCCTTCGTATGCAGATCCTCACTTCACCTATCCAGTGGCACTTAGTTGCCACTGCAGCACCTGTAACACCCACAGTGATGAATGTGCCCACAAAACCAGCAGCGCTGCAAGGAAATGCTCCAAACCTGTCCGTCATCTGTACCCCGACCCCGAGGAGAACAGTTACATCCAGCCATATTGGGAACAGTACGAGTAATGTTTGATAAATCCTTGACTAAAACTTAAATCAAAACAAAGTGTGTGTGTTAGCAGTTGACTGGGTGCAATTGTTTGTTAGATAATCATTGAGTAAACCTTGTCACAAAGTTACCTAACTCATTATGTTTGCTGTATTTTATATCAAGCATCTGATGTCTTTAATGAGGCCAAAAGTGGTTTAAAAAAAAACGTTTTAATGGGGTTCAAATACGTATGCTTTTATGGATAATAGACCTTCTGCGAACTTTAATGATGCTTTGGTGTTTGATCGGCATTGTTTCTATAAAAAATTCAGAGGAAAAATCCTTCCATAAAAATGGGTTTTATCACTATTGCTAGTGTTTATGGTTTAACAATGGGTGTTTATGAAATTATGCATCCAGTTGTAAGGACAATGGCTTGTCGTGCAATGAATCAAAGAATAACAAGAGGCCAAGCTAGTAATTTCAGTCACAGAACCATTTTATGTTTTGGCAAATTATTGGCTATATGAATTTCTACAATCTCTGTTGTACGTTTTTGTATGATCTGCTTACTTTAAATAAAAAAAAAACTTACATTTCCATACAAAACACATAATACACATTCATACAAAGTTGCTGCCTCATAAAATAGTTACAAAAATGACTGCAAATGATGATAGACAGGTTCCCTAAACATTCCCCCTGTCTGCCATTAGTCATCAAACAGAGAGTCCCAGCTTAAAAGCATTGGCTGAACCAATGAATGAGAGAACTATTTGAATACTGATTCTGAGATTGTGCCACTTGGTAAAACATTGTTTTGCCTAAATGTTTTTCATTAAAAGACCTGCTTTGTATTGAACCACCAAACAGTGTCATTGACTTTTAATTGTCTCAGAAGTAGCCGGTGTGTTTGTGTGTAGTAAATGAGCAATCATTGCTAGATAATGCGTATTTAGAGAGGCAAATAGCTGTGGGTTATTTATATTACAAACTCAGAGGATGGTTAACCCAAGTTTGCATTCATTCTAGTCCTTTTGTTTCTGTCTTTATAGCCCATATTATATTTTATGGGTAATTGTAACCAGCCGTTACTATGTCTTTCTTTCATGGCTGTCACGCAATAATATATCTTTCTTTTTTCACGTGTCAGAACATAAGGGCTACAGGGGAGGGTTGGGTAAGAATTGCCTAGAGGTGAATCAAGGACTGACACCATGGTTACACGCTTGGGGTTCAAAGCAGGCAACAAATTAAATATGTCATGTTCCACCTCTCAGTCAGTGTCCTAACAACCAGTACAAACATAACCTACTCCTCTTTTGAAACAAATGAAAGGTATTACATGTCCTAAAATACAGTATGTCATTTTGTTCCCATCCAAATAGGTTTTATTGAAGTGTAAGGATTACACAATAGCATATGTTGTTTCATTATTTCTCCTTGTTCGTTTCCCTTTAATCTTCATTCACATGTATAGACGGCCTTTCCACTGTGATCCCCTTTATATTATTCAAGGATTCCTGTCGGCTTGGTCACAATCTGGCCAATCAAATTAGAATGGCGCAGATGCTTTCTTCACAATAGCGCATGAGTCTGTGTTGTGATAATCCAATGCCCTAATATAATAATACATCAAACAATAACGCTGGTGGAATCTGGCCGCTCAGCAGTCTTTTACAGGGTTGGTGGGACTAGAAAACCTTCCCCATGCGTTCAGTGTCCAGTGGAATTCTTTTCTGCCACATTCCTCCTGCTAAAACTGGCTAGACTTGAAACATAAACCAAAGGTTGAGAAGCCAATGGTTGAATTTCAGTGGGGTTGTTGTTGCTGAACTTTATCAGCGCTGCATTCATATCTGAGTCTTTAAGATACATTCCAGTCGTGTCTTTGATGTTTATCGTGACCTAAAAACTTTCAGATGTCATTCAGGTCTCAACAAGTCAGAAGCTCAACAAAAAAAAAGTGTTTGAAAAAGAAAGAAGAAAACACAGCCGTGCAATATAATAAAACAACGTTTGCTTTTTGTATCTAAATTAGATCAGGGCTGCATTTTTCAAAAGCACTGTGAACTAAGTTTATCGTATGACCATTGCTGGAAATGGTTCTTGATCTACTTAGGCGTACGATGCTTTTGGGAAACGCAGCCCTGATCAATAGCCGTGGATCACATGCTATGAGTCAATGAGCTAAATAAAGCTGGTACTGTGACTGATAACCACCAGCTGCATGCCTGGTCATTTTAATATAACACCTGCAAGTTCATTGTGTGTTATTTTAAGCATATTGGACAACTGTTTGCTTAATTTAGAACTGTATTTCAACCTCAACCAGAGAAACAAAGATTAACACGGATCTTTCTGGAGTTTCACTTAATCTCATTGTGAAGAAGTGTTGTTAGATTAGTAACTTCCAGGTATTTGCCTTCATCGTGATCTGTAGAAAGAGGGTGGCATCGTTCTACATCTCTTAATCACAGTTAGGCTACTTAGACCAAACAAGTATACACTATGCCTCATGACACAGTTTATAAAAACAGGGTTTCAGGTGAAAAATAGAAGGTTTTTTTGCAAGTTGGCCTTTATACAATGTTTACCATTTCTATACACACATTCTAATGTTAATCAGGGCAATCAAGAGAATTAGCTAACTAGTGTCTGTGAAAGTAGTTTCTGTAATTGCTGTAGAACACAGCTACTCTGGAAAACAAAATGTACAACAATTTGTTTATGTTTTTGTTATGATATGTTTTTATGTTTATTCATGCTGACGATAGATAGATAGATAGATAGATAGATAGATAGATAGATAGATAGATAGATAGATAGATAGATAGATAGATAGATAGATAGATAGATAGATAGATAGATAGATAGATAGATAGATAGATAGATAGATAGATAGATAGATAGATAGATAGATAGATAGATAGATAGATAGATAGATTTAGTTTGTAAGGTGTAAGCAATGTCTTTTTCCTATTGATGTTGATATTATTATACATGCATATTGTTTTTAGCACAAAGAACTATTAATCTGTAAACGTCACTGAACTAAAACACCCGTAACTTTCCATATGGCTGGTGTAATTTGACACCAATGCACCCCCTCGGCTTTGACTCATAGGAGGAGGTCCTTAGTACTGAGTGACGAATGAATGTGGGTATGCAAATACATTGAGGCATGATTGGAGAAGTAAATTTACACCCGGGAAAATGGCCCGCCTCCTTTATTAAAGCTGGAAGGAATTTTCCATAGAACCATTCATTCAAATTTCTTCGTTGTGGAAGGTTCTCTGGTACCGAAACTTATAAAAATATTTGAACGATTTCAGAGGTGAGTGTTTATTTAGGAAAAAGCCTAAACCAGCTTTATGTTCTAGTAGTAACATAGAAGTTAAAATATAACATAGTAGAGATATTTAATGTTCTGCACCGACCAAACGTTTATTAGTAGGCTAATATCAAGTCATTTGACTCGTAATATTTTCAGTGGTGGAGGTGTGTTCTTTTAAGTGTTTGACTTATTTAAACCGGCTTTTGTGTGTTTAGCAACTAGCTAACCTGCAGTTTAGACCGTTAGTTGAAACCGGGTAATTCATTCATTTCCGCTTTTCTAGAAATGTCCTTTACCGCCTCATAGTTTTGAATTTTCCGCTTTTTAAAAAAATATTTGCATTTGATACTTCATTGTCTTATTACTGTATTTGTCTATCTTTATTGCTACAGCCACAAAAATACATTATATTTTAAGAATAGGGAACTGCATGTGTTGTAAATTAACGGAGAAATAACATGCAGAGTCTGGAGTTTATTTACAAGCCTGAAGCAAAAGCCGTGTGTTAGAGGAATGTCACTGAAACATGTCAGCTCTTGAGTAATCTTGTTTTATTCCGTTTTATTCTTCTGAAGTGAATTTGAATCCTTTCTCTTTCTGACTCTTTCGAATCAGTTCACAAAACTAGTTTGAATGAGTTGCTCACTATATCTGAAGCAGTCCGAGCGTTTGAGTCGATAACAAATTCCATTATTTAAAAATTATTAAACGTAATAAACTGTAATTATATATGGCTTTATTAAAACGTTTTAGAACATTTAATCTGCGAGATGTTGGGGTCAACGTGATGGCGTCAGGACGTAAAAGAACTGCCCGCTCAGTTTCGTAAGAACCGATTCGCGGAAATGAGTCCAATAACCCGACACAAAGGCAAAGCCAAACCCTGACGGAACTGAACACATGCGCACAGGGCAAGCGTGCTAGTACATGCGCGCGCACCCACACACACTAGCCGGAAGTCAGTGAGTTCGTGTCATTTGACCTTTATCGGTCAGTGTTTTGGTCAGTGGATTAAAGCGTCATGAGATGCGTAGGAAGAGCTTAATGACAGTGAGGTGTAAGTTATTTTTTCCGGTTGTAGACTAAAGTACGTGCAGACAGGCTTATATACGTTAACGTTATATCAGTCAGTTACTGCTAACACTCAGTCATCTGTCTCTTTACTTCCAGGTCTCCTCACTCGTGGTCTGTAACTGTTACTTCCTTCACTGATCACTGCAAGAAGTTCTCATCAGACTCTCAATCTTTTTCTGAAATTTCATAATGTCTCAACAGATCAGGTACAGAAGAATATTAATCATTTATATACATTTTAACGTTTTGTTTATCGAATTAAATGGTAGTTTCTGGGTGATTTATTTTGTTGAATTTCAATTTGATGTTAATGAATTGACAAACACCACCTTGAATTTATTAAATTGCCTTTAGTTAAATATTTTATAAACATAGAAAGTGTGTATATATTCAGTAATGTATAAGTTCATTAATATCAAAAGGATATGTAAATGTGTGTGTAATTTTTAATGTCTTTTAAGTGAATTTGATAAAAGACCCCTTGAATTTTAGGAATTTTGTAAAGAACTTTAGTTGTATATTTTAATTTAATGGGTTTTTTTACGTGTGTGTGTGTATATATATATATATATATATATATATATATATATAAAATATCTTGGACATGCTTTCATTCTCACCTCTTTTTGTTTGTTTTTCCTCTAGCCTCCCTGCCAAGCTGATTAATGGTGGTATTGCTGGCATCGTTGGGGTCACTTGCGTGTTTCCCATTGATTTGGTCAAGACCAGACTTCAGAACCAGAGACCAGGCCAGCAAGTCTACAAGAGCATGTAAGGGCCTGTCACTTTTTTTCTTTAAAGCTCTCAATGCTTCAAAAATTCTGTTACTTTTCCATTTCAATTCACAAACACCATTTTAGTGGTGTTATAATATACTCCTGTTTGAGTCATGGCTGTGCGTCAGACCCCTTACTTTGATTTGATAAGCTGCCTTGCATTGGTAGCTAATCCTAGAGGAATGTGATAAATGGGCAGGCGTTAGTTGCCACCTGACATGATGATGTGGCCGCTATGGTCACTGCAAAGCCTTATAAGGATTAAAGCCAGACCGTGTCCCATGCATGATGCAAACACATACATAGTGAACCGAGAGCATATGGCTTTTGTTGTTAATAACGGTTAATTTGTGGAAACCGGTAGACTGGTCCATGTTAAAACATCTTGTTTGTCTTTCAGGATTGACTGCCTCATCAAAACAGTGCGATCTGAGGGATACTTTGGCATGTATAGAGGTAAGATTCACTCATTTATTTATAAGTGCCTGTAAATTATATAGTATGCCTTTTTTTAGATTAGTATAGTTTCTTAAATGGCATGATGGGTACACCTGAATAGACTTGAGGAATCCAGTCCATAATGGCTTTGGATAATGAACTAGAATTGGTTGGCTGGTTATAGTAAACTCAAACTCTGACATTTTTTTTTTTGTAATTTGTTGCACTTATAGCAATATTTAAGCATTTTCCCAACGTCTGAACAGTCTTAAAAAAATAAAATACTTTGTTGGTAAAATGGATGCACTATCAACCTATATTATTACATATCCCTTATTTTTAACCCCCTGATGCATGGTGTCCACTATAATGGCATTTTAACCATTCAGGGTGTGATGTTACATCCAAACCACAATGGGGTGATTTTATATTTACCCATAGCCATAATTCTACATGACTGTTCATATTCATGACCACGTGTATTAAACATAGCTCACGAAAGTGGTGATGCACCAAGTACATTTGCAATATTTACTATTATCTTTTCATTTTAAATCTTTCAAAATGCAGATTTTATTTTAAATTCAAGAAAGTTGTTTAAATAAATAAATAATTTGGGAATGATTAGATGCTGTTTTAAAGTCTTAAGATTTGATTTTAATATTTAATGCATCAGAGGGTTAATTTTAAATTAAGCAAATCAAACATGTTGTAATTATTACAATTGGTAGATCGGTTGTTTGGCTTCAGGTATTCAACTGACCAATATAAGTGTCCTTGAAGAGTGTTATCTGTAGAGTTTGGGGGAGATTGGAGTCGGTGTTTTGTGCCGGGTCTCCATTTCTGTGAGGAATGCTGTTGTTTGCATCTGTGTTTTTCATGTTACAGACATGGGTCCCCGCTGGCATAGTGAAGGCTAGCCGATAAGGCGCAGCCGCGCTGGAGGCAAATCATTTATCATGGTTCTTACCCACTCTGCTCTATTACAATTAGGCACCAATATTTTTGTTGTTGTTTTTTTTTTTTTTGTTAATTGTTGAATCATTTTGATATTTACTTTTTTGCTTCTTGTTTCTTTGTAGATTTTTTTTTTTTTTTTTTTTTTTTACTTCACTGTCCTTGCTCTTGTCTCGTTCAGTACTAACCCATCTTGCCATGTTCTGATAACATCTAGAATGTTTTGTTGGATATTAGCATCACTTATGCTCATTATCTGCCTTCTTCTTTTTAGTCTGATCATGTGAATAACTGCTGTTTCTTTTAAACACAGTTGTATCTTAAAACAACATGGTCCTAGTTAGGGCTGGGCAGTATGAACACATTCTTACATCACTGTACATTTATTTATCACAATTATTTTGGCCTGAATTCAAGTAAAAAAATGTATACATTACCGAGGCATTATTACATGATTATGTAATGTAGTGAATCGAATATGTTATAGATTAATGTTACTTGATCATATTTTCCTTTCTTTTGTATGAATTATTTTCTTTATTTAAACTTAATGCCAGACTTATGCATGTGTGAATTTATCAGTGTAAAATAGATTCTTTACTTCATTTAGGCTGTCACTTGAGTTTAAAAGGACTCAAAATGCAGTGCATTATGAATATAATTGTCTGCAACATTTTAAGCTGTTGTAAAATAGCTGTGACTGCACATCAGTTGATTTACTTTATTAATGCTACAGTTCGCACATGCAACACGTCGAAACTACACATCAGCAAAGCTGTCTTCATTGGAAGCGGTCTGTTTGCAGATTTAACGCCGCATAAACGGCATAGCAAAATCTCACATTTCTACCGTTGCACTGGATTTACCGTCATACTGCACAACCCTAATGTCAGTCTCTTTCTGGAATGTGCCTGCCTTTTCTCACTATATTGAAAAATCTATCCTTTATTTCTAATATCCTGTTTATTTTTATTTTTTTATTTTTTTCATTTTGTTCACATTATGTAAAATCCCCCTCCATCATCATCTCACGTTTTTTTCACAAGTTTTGCTTATATTCTTAGTCTGTTAGTGGCATTTTTATCTTCTAATCTGTTTGAATGGTACTTGATAAGGTCATGTTGTAGATTTATCTCTGGTTTGATGGTGGTGGGGAATGTGTGTTTGCTGATCTGTGATCAGTTGTGGTGTGGTTTTCATTAACCCTCTGTTTGTTTGTCTTTTAGGTGCTGCAGTTAATCTTACACTGGTCACTCCTGAGAAGGCCATCAAACTGGCAGCCAATGACTTCTTCCGGCACCACCTCTCCAAAGACGGGTATGTTTGCTACTGCTACACTTGGTAATATTCAATATCTGTTTTACCTAACAATTAAAATATAACATCTGTGCTGTTATATAATCATTGCCTTGTTTGTTACAGGAGAGGGCTGAATGTATTTAAAGAGATGTTGGCTGGATGTGCTGCTGGCATGTGCCAGGTTGTCGTCACTACTCCAATGGAGATGCTGAAAATTCAACTACAGGATGCTGGGAGACTAGGTAGGTTTTCCTTTTTGTGCTTATTGCAGAAGTGAAATCTAGTAGGGATGTTCGATTGTCAAAAATAATAATCATGATTATTTTGGTCAATATTGAAATCACGATTATTGGTGTGCAATATTGGGAAATAAGACTTTGATCATAAGTAATTTTAAATTGTGAAATGTCAAAATTATCGATACTTCAGCATAAACTAATAGTAGGTTAACTAATGTAAGAAAAAGGTCCTCATAATAATTACACAAGACAAGTAAACTGTCAGAAATACAATAAAAACAAAGAAACTAATTACAAACAAAACGGAAAAAAATACAACAGCGAAATTTCGAATGATCAAAATAAACGGTGTTAAGTTTTTCAGGAATATGTACAAACAGTGGTATTCAGATAAAAAGAAAAGAAAAAAAATATAATCATGTAAAACAACACTTCATATAGCATTGCATAGTCATACACTGTACACTACTTAAAAATATGGACTCACTGATCTTGACTGAATAACGTATTTATTTTTCCTTTGTCATTTGTTTGATTGTTTAATGACAGGCTGCAGCAGGTTTATCAGGCTGCAGTCACTTTAAGAGCTAATGCACGGATCCAATGTACTGTTACACACACGTTTTCACGCATTCACCGTGTTTACATGAATGCTCTCCAAAAAGGCATTTTGACTTTTGTCAAAATACCCATTTGCTTATCCGCATTCGGCTCCGCACACAGAAAGCCACCTGGGGAACAGTGTCTCTTTTGTGGCTTAATGCCCTTTTAATAACACCGTTTAATATCAAACATGTCCCGCAGTTTAGCAACAGTAGACTGCATTTTACAACACTCACTTATTTGGATGTCAAGCTTGGGCTTTTAGGGAGGAATGAAAGCGCACTGCTGTGAAGGAAAGGAAGGTACGCTGGACTGAATGTGGCAGTGGCGCAATAATCGGTTTACTCTTATCTTGTTTTCATAATCGTCAAAATCCGAAATCGAAAATCAATTACGATAAATTGTACAGCCCTAAATCTAGTATATGCAGTACTTTATTCTGATTGGTTAGTTGCATCGTTCTTCATCAATTTTTTGTCCATTTATTTTGGTGTGATAATGTAGTTGGAAATTATTGCGAAATAACCCCAACAAGGTGATCAGAACCCCATGCTGAAGTTTATTTAGCAATAATGATCAACATTATGCCTTATTGTAGTTATTACTCACTTGGAACAACTTTTCTGATCATCTTTACAGCCGCTCAGCAGAGAAAACCAGGCATCATCACTCCCAATAGACTGGCCACCACAAACGCGGTGCTGAGTCGCTCCTACAATGTGATACCCAGCACCTCACACAGGGCCATATCTGCCACCCAGATCGCAAGAGAGTTACTGCACACTCAAGGCATTCAGGGGCTCTACAAAGGCCTTGGAGCAACTCTATTGAGGTAATGCATTGTACAATCTTTACTGTGACTGTAAAAAGCAAACATTCACAATATTTGGGAACATAAATGCAACTTTTTGTGTTCTCTTTTTCTCCAATTTAGAGACGTACCTTTCTCGATCATTTACTTCCCACTCTTTGCAAATTTGAACAAGCTGGGTAAGCCCTCCTCTGAAGATGCGGCACCATTTTATTGGTCCTTCATCTCTGGATGTGTTGCGGGCTCCACAGCTGCTGTTGCTGTTAACCCATGTGATGGTAAGCTGCTTTTTTTTTTTTGTCATCTTAAGCCCCATCTTGTTGGTGCACTTTTAAAAGGAAATGTGCATGCTCACCTTGTCTTTTGTTTTTAACAGTGGTTAAGACCAGGCTGCAGTCTCTGAACAAAGGAGCCAATGAGGAAACCTACAGTGGCATAATTGACTGTTTCAGGTGATGCAACAGTCCCATTACTTGTTTTAAATGTTACAATTTAACTGATTTGTAATTCTGGAATGTGAGTATATCATCTACTGTGTGTGACCTTTGCTTGTTTCTTTGTTCCTACAGCAAGATCTTTAGGCAAGAAGGGCCGTCTGCGTTCCTGAAGGGTGCGTGTTGCAGGGCTCTAGTCATCGCACCGCTGTTCGGCATCGTGCAGGTCATGTACTTCATCGGTGTAGGAGAGTTTATCATGAGCCAGTCGCCCCTAAAGCTAATCTCTGACTGAACAGACACGCATACCTCGGAGTCGACCAAGACTGTGGCAGCTACACAACCAACTGTACATTTACAAGAAAAGATAAACATTAATCAAGATGGTGAAGTTGTCGAGAGAACGACAACTTCTACTCTGGTTAAGTTCCTGTGAGTTTATCCAGCCTTACCGCACTTCCTCTATGGTTTACAGGCTTCTTTGATGGGCTGTAGCCAACATTTTGCACTTGTTTGTAAGGATGTCTGGAGGAGAGTGCTTATGATGTGCTGAAGCATATGTGAAAGTTTCCCCTCAATGAGGAAGACTGACTGGTGTTGCTGTAAATTATGACACTAATGTTTTTGTTTACTTTTTTCCACCTCCCTATCTATTCACTTTGTACTGTTATTTTTGCATTACTTGCTTTGTCTCGTCTTTTTCCCAACTTAGAATTCATTTATTTCTGTTTCTGTCACTGTTTTCAGTGTCTAAACAATTGGGTTACTTCATGCTTTTGAAGACTTCAGACCTTGTAACTCTAAATTGTTAATAGTTTTAGGGAAACTATTGATGGTTTCCTAAAACAGACCAACATTTGATGCATATCGTATTTATGCAATATATTGGAGTTTTGTAGACATGCATTTTATTGCATTTCCTTCCGTTACATGGACCAGCACATGTTACAACTGTAGCTTCTTGAGATTTATAATCTCAAAGCGTAGGTCATTATTTTCAGGTCATGTGTTTGCTTTAAATACATACGATGGACAATCTTTTTGCAAAGTTTGAGGCACCCAGCCTTGAACAAAACGCTGTATATTTAAGTGCTATGATGTTTTGACTACAGTATTAACATCTACTGACAATGACACTTCAGTGCAACATGTATTAATTTCTGTTCAATGGAAATTAAATCAAATTCAACATTGCAAAAATAAAAAAGCAAATGTTTACTTGTGAGCTGTTTTAATGTTGTTCAGGGTTTATTGCCCTGTGACCATATTTTCTCATTTCAAAGCCATTTACATGCAACACAATGCTATAAAAGAGTAAAAAAAAAAAATTTACTTGGAGTTGAGGAACTACAAACTCAAATGTGCTGGAACTGCAAACACACGTGTACAATGTGGCTTTGTAAAGGCACATCGATCAATTAAATGATTGGGTCATATTCTTGAACAGAAGACAAAAAGAAGCAATGGTTGAAGAATTTAGATATGCTTTTGTGCAATTTTACAGTAATATTGCAAATTACATTTGTTGATCTCCTTTACAGCTGGTGTTTGAACTCTACAAATTCAAAATCAGCCAAGTGAGGAAGGTAATGTGCATTAACCACTTAAACAAGTGACACTTGAAAAAGACAAATGAATGAAAATATTTTTAAAGAGTGAAACATAGGAGTCTGAAGGTTGAGTTTCCTCTCCTCTCAGTGGTTATTCCATTTTTTACAAATAATTATATTTGCCATTACTGCTGTAATATTTCATTACTATTAATCAACAAAATAAATTACTACTGGCAAGATTTAAAAAAAAAAGTAACCTAATTAGGAATTTGTTTACTGGTTAACATCAACCAATAGCAGCAAACTCAAAAGGTTCCAGAGAAAGAGCAAGTCTACATTTTGATCAACTATTATGAAGCTAATTGTTTTTCTTTGGAATATCCTGCACTCATGAATCTTTTACAATAGAACCAGGAACGTTACTAAATCAAATAGGTTTAATTTTGAGGTCATGCTGACTTTAAGAGTGACAATCTGTGTCAGAGGTCTTAAATCACACTCTTCCACTCCTTGGCTTCATTCAGTATCTATATGAAGTGGCAAAATTACAATAACCAAATATTAATTAATCACCAGCAAAACACAAACATATGACCAATTATCTATTAGCACAGAAAACCTGGTCTACTTCACACAATAAATAACAGGATAATAAGTTGATCAATAAGAGGCATCAGAAAGCGTATTTACATCAGTAAGAAAATGGCCAGTTCACTGTGAAAGTCTGGACCAAAGAGGGACTCGAGATGTGAGAGCTCTCTATTAAGCGAGTATGTACACTATGCACCGCTTGTAATGGTTCAAAATAAATGTAAAGGTTAATTGGGTTACATTAGCAGTCCATGCAGTGGAGGTCATCTTCAAACAATGCAAGGACCAGAAAAGACAGAAACGATCAGATACAGAATGCTGTTCACGAAACAGTACCACAAGACCCACACTGCCTCATGGGAGTTCCTCCACCCTGCTCACAAGCCTGAATGTGATGGTCCGATGAGGTTAAAGAAGGTGGGCTTTGAAACAGTCCAACTGGGCGAGAGGGGAACTGTGAGGTGCCTAAATAACTTCTCTGCTGTTTCGAATGGCGCAGCAAAGAACCATGCTGAAGATCATGCCAATTATCTGTTAAAACAGTGAGGGGATGTTCAGATGTTCTACATGATAAATACATGCTACAGTGTTCCCAAAAAGCATTTGAACACCTAATATAAAAAAACCAAATGTCTTTTCTATACTATAAAGCAAATCTCAATTGGCTGATTTTTTTTTTCCGTCACAAAATTAAGCGACAGCTCTTTATATAAAGTTGCATATATGAGTATTTCCAACTTTGATTTGACTTTAAGTATAAAAATTTAGCAAAAAGAAGTTTGTTGGTTTCATATTCTTACCATTATTCCAGCAATGCCAAGCCCAACGTATCCAATTATGAAGAGTTTTTCATTGAAGAAGTCTTCGATAGCTTTAATGCAATCCTTGAAAGCATTTAAAAAGAACATTAGATGAGTTTGGCAAACTGATGAAGTGCGTTAATGTTCAAACAATATATACACAACATCTGTTCACTTCAACTGATTTAGCTCTTATAAAATTAATAGCTCTGGCTCTGACCACTGATTGGACGAGCCACCAAAGCTGTTGTAAAATAGCAGAGATGTGCACACCATTTATAACTAATCATTTTTATTATGATTAATTAGTCAATTGAATGTTAGTGTTTTATATCACATCTTTGTTGCCAAAAAGCTTTGCTGTGTCGTGCATAAAAACCCATAAACTATGTAAAAAACATCATTGTAATGCATAACCATATTTATGTGGATGGAAATGCCGAGATTGCGTTTCGTCTGCGCGCTCTGAGACGCAAGTCATTCATGATGTAGGAAAAAAAGCCACAGTGGCTTCCCTGATAATATCTTACCAACCTTTCGAACGGCAGTGTATATTCACACACACACACACACTCACACGAGCTGTACCTAAATAGTTGTCATTTTTTATAGGCTACAGCCATTGTAAACACTGTTAACACGCTGTTGCGGTATCTTCTTTCTAATGTGCTTTGCTGATTGGGATCAACTGACAGTATGAACTTCACAACTGAAGCACAATGTGACATCATGTTTCTCAGCCGATCAATGCGCTTTCGTGACAGCTATAAATAAAAAACTGGCGCCTTTGTGCCCCTGTGGGCTTATCGGATCAAGTGACTCATTGGACATCTTGCCGCTGTTTGCTTCATTTCTCTCTCTAAGCCCCTCTCTTACCTTCTCCCTCCACTGGTCTGCACTCCTCCCTCCCTTTCTTTACCCCGTACAGAGCAACATGGCTGCCACCTAAGGGTCTGTGTCAGAACTGCTCATCATTCGAGTATGAAAGGTGTCCTTCCTGTGAGTCTAAGGCTAGATTTACCAACAGCTTGCGCCAGCGCAAACCCTCTTTTGGCATTAAAAAACTACTGTCAGGATTAAAGACATGCTTGTCTGTCCTCATTAACACTCTCCCTGCCACTGACACGTTTTTCTGGCAATCCGTGTTATCACTGTTATATGGTAGGGGGCGCTGTAGGCATGGATACAAGATTGCTCAGCACAAGTAAGCTAACGTAATCAAACATTCAACAGCATATAAATCACAACTGCCTAATGTTACCAAACGAAATGTTAAGCCCAAAATGCGAAAACGCAAGCTTTTTGTTGTAAATGCCCACATTCAAGTGTTGAAAAGAATGAACGAAGCTAGAATAAAATGTGTTTTTGTTGTTGTTTAAAAGCAGAGGCTCTGGTCTTTCTTTGGATATGTTGACTTTTTATTCATACAACTAAATATTCTGGGGGCCATGAAAGTTTTGTGAATATGATAAAAAAAATGCTGCTACTTGCTGGTAACTTTTTTAGAAAATGCTGGCGGGGAAAGAGTTATAGCAACGCAGAGAGACACACCACATTGTCAGTGAATCAGACCACATCTGAAATTTAATAAACATGTGGAGTGGAATTTTGGACCAATGTAATTTAACTGTGGGCGGGGATAGCACTGAAATCGACAACATTTCCTGTTGCACAGTATATATAATATATATAATTTCTTTATAAAATAATGCAAACTAATAGAGCTTCGTGGCCTATACAGAAATAACGATGGATGGCAAATCCTCTCAAATCACCTTGCATTGAAACGCGTGTCAAAAAGTTATGTTTCTCTTCAACTAATTCAAGAGATTCCTTCAGAATAGTGACCTGAATTCAATTAAAGGGATAGTTCACTTTGAAATTAATTTTTGATATGTTTTAGCTTACCTCAAGGGCATCCGAGATGTAGGTGTCTTTGTTTCCGCAGTAGTTTCAATTTTAATATTTTTAGGTCAAACCGTTCTTGTCTGTCAGTCATATAATGCAGGTCTATGGTCACCACCTCAAAGAGCATGCACAGAGAAGTCCAAATTAAACATGATTTAATGACTCGTAAATGTAAGTACACATTGATGGCCTAAGACACGAAACGAGCGGTTTGTGTGAGAAAACGAACAGTATTTATATCGTTTTTACCTCTTGTAACGCACAGACCGAAGCGCCCGCGCCCTCAGATCACTTGGACGTGGCTGTGTTTACAAGAGGTAAAAACGATATAAATACTGCTCGTTTTCTCACACAAACCGCTCGTTTTGTGTCTTAGGCCATCAATGTGTACATTTACGAGTCATTAAATCATGTTTAATTTGGACTTCTCTGCATGCTCTTTGAGGTGGTGACCATAGACCTGCATTATATGACTGACAGACAAGAACGGTTTGACCTAAAAATATCAAAATTGAAACTACTGCGGAAACAAAGACACCTACATCTTGGATGCCCTTGAGGTAAGCTAAAACATATCAAAAATTAATTTCAAAGTGAACTATCCCTTTAAGCAGATGAAGTGGCAGAGGTGAAATGATATTGAGCCCTCTAACATAAGCAATAAAAGATGATCAGATGGTGCATTTTAACTTACCGTGTTAGGACCGGCTTCAGAGCACAGATCAGGAGGACGGGAAGATTCAGTCCCACAGCAGTCCAGCTGTGAAATAAGACCAGACATTACATCCACACAGACACTAAGGCCACAGATCATTTACTAAATCAAATGCTTGACTGACCACTTTGTGATACATGGAGGCAATAGCAGTCCTGTTGTCATTTCCCAGAGTGGACTCATAGTAGTTTCGTACATCATTAATGATCTAGAAACACATGTGCGAGTATCAGCTCATTATTACATGACAGTTCATTTCATATTTATGCTCAATAAAATGGTTGACACGGTGCATGCAATACCTTTTCCTTATTCAAAAAGCCAAAGACTCCGGCAGCGACCTCTGCGCCAAAGATCACCAGAAGGCAAGCAAAAAACTATAAAAGAGACTTCACTTTAGTTTTTCAACACTAATTGCAAATCAACAGGATCATATAACAGGAAATCAAGAAGGTTATTTTCAATTATGTAAAAAAAAAATGGTAAAAGTGTTAAAATTTTAACACTGTGCACTGATGGGTCGAGCATAATGAGACCAGGACCATGTATTAAGAATGTAAAAAAGGTCCATGTTGATTTAATGTTTAATTTAAAATCTTCAGTGTTGACAAAAAAGTGCTCAAGGCAGTGTTGGCTGCAACTCATTACTAAGTAATGAATTACTGTAATTTAATTACTTTTCCCAAGAAAAAGTAAAGTAAGGGATTACTCTTATTTTTTCTGTAATTTAATTATAGTTACTTATGATGTAATTGCATTAAATATTATATAGACAATTGAACAATTCTATATAAAACAATAGTGGATTTAACATCAAAATATTATGTCCAATTTCAAAATGTACGTTTTTAATGTACAGTAACCTTCTTTAAATACTTTGGTCAATTCAATAATTATTTATTCAATGTATTATTATATATTTGAAAGAATTAAAAGAGCAGTTTCATGTTTATCTTTGTATTGTTCAATGTGGGATTTGATTTGGAAAATAATTAGTAATAAGTAATGCAATACTTTTTAGAGAGTAATTAGTACAGTAATACATAAACAGTGTGTTTCAGGGTATTTCTTCATTTATTGTTGCGTAGTTTGTACTAGAGGTGTTCACGGGTCCACTTTGATCCGAAAACCCGAGTTGGTTCGAGTCCAAACTTTGACAAGTGCATCGGACACGGGTCGGGTGTGATATTAGTAGCCTCTGGTCTTTGGGTACTTTTAAATATATTTATGTGCTTTTAAAGATATAACCTGAGAATACCAGAATTCTTTCAAAATATGCCAACTTTTCATTATTCGTTTTGGCCGTTCAACAATATTTTATTATTTAAAACGAATGACTCTACTTTATTCCAGGCTTACTGTATATGTGTACATAACCAAACCCTCCTGGATACCGTGTTCTGCAACACCCGAGGCATTCGAGGGAATGATTAATGTTAACATTCATATCAATTTATGTCGTTTAAGGTGCAACATAAAGCTTGTGAGCGGTTGGACTCACTCGCCTCTGAAGAAAAATGATTTACTGTTGCCAGACACATTAATTACAGAAATCCATCTATATGCAGTACTAAATCAAATGAACAAAAATGAAACCATAACTGTATATTTTGGGGGTTTTCCTCAAACAAAACAATTTGTCATACCCGGTTGAAAAAGTCCCCACTCAACCACTATGCAGTGAAAAAGGTCTCGGGTCTCAAGTCTAATTTTATCGGGAAAGGTTTTTCTTTTTTATTAATTGATGCACATCAGGTTTGGCTAAGAAGTGATTTGAGTCAGGTACAGATCTTAGGACCCGAGAAGACCTCTAGTTCTTACTCACCGATCCCAGAAGACACTGTGACTCTCTCACGGCCCCAAAGCAACCGAAGAACCCCACCAACATCATGACACCTCCTGCTCCGATCAAGATGTACACCGCTGCGGGGAGAACAGAGTATAGTGTAATATTGAAAGTAAGTCCTAGAAAATCCCAGCGTGCAGTTCATTTATATGAACAGATGATGGCAGAACATGAATAGGTAATGAAATCATTTATTAATTTCAACTGTAAAAGTGCTCATATACTCTAACACAGATGGCAGATAAATGAAATTAATGTGGACCCAGGTGTACTTTTAGATGACTGAGAGTGAAAGCAACTGATTCTAATTTTATGAAGGATCTGTAGGCATTTCCTGACAGATGGTCAAAATCAAAATCACCCTTATGTGTTAGGTACTTACCCATTCAATGTAAACTACAATCCAACACAAAAACACAATTCTTGTGTTTTGCATGTCTATGCAGGGAAGTGAGAAGTTTGAGAAGGTGTGAATTGCACCTCTTCGCGTATCTCCAACAACCAGTGTCAAAGGCCTCGGCTCAACAGAAACAGTCTTTGTGTGAACAACAAATACAGACACCACAAGCTCGACCGTTGCCCTGAGGCCTTAATCGTATTTACAGGCATGATTTCATTTTTCCCAAAACAGTTAAGCGCAAATCTTACCCTGCAGCCGTTTTCATTGGTCATCTCGATCACACACACACATACACACATATACAGTATATATATATATGTGTGTGTGTGTGTGTGTGTGTGTGTGTGCAATCAACAAAAAAGTATATATGTATATATATATATATATATATATATATATATATGCAATCAAAATGGTCATATTTCATGCATAAAATGGCCATATTTTCATATATAAAGTATAAACTGATAAACCACCTCAAACACCCTAGCAATGCACAACAGTTGCACATTGTGACAGCAGGTTTTGCAGGAGCAAACAGCACTTTAATTTTCTTTAGAAAATGTGAAACTGTAGTTAAAGACATAACATTTCAGGTCTATTTTGGACATTCATGATTACGGGATGTTCATGATCTTGTTGTCATTCTCCTCTTCTTGCCAATTATCTCACCATAGCAACAATTCAGCCACCCCAGACGCAGGGCGCTGACACGTCTGCTGTGCCACACTCACTTGAGACCGCCGTTGCTAGGATGGCAGTCTCCCTCGCGAACGACTGCTTTCCCTTGCCACTTTAGACAAGCTAGAGCCATACTAATTAATGGAAAAAGAGAAACCAGAGCAAAATGGTGAAGCCTGGTGAAGCTAAACGCAGCTAAATATGCTACAATCCCTGTTAAACACCACACTATAAATTAAAAGCCATAGCTGTGTACATAGCCTTGCACACAGGTTTACATTTCAGATATGACTCCACTGACATATCCATCCTCGAAGGAGTCAAGAAGGCCAAAAGGCTTGCCAGACAGCACAGAGCTGAAGCTTTGCCGAGGTTTTATTAAGGCTAAAGGAAGACAAGCATCACAACCCACAATAATTGATCCCCAAGGGAGAAAATAATGTTGTTTTCCGAGGACAGAACAAAGGAGATTTGACATGAGTCCTCTGTGAGTTAAGCAAGCTAAAAACACCAAGCCTCCTCTACTCTTGACTTCCTAATTGCCAAATGGATGGAAAACAAGCTGACATTTCATATAAACAGCCCTCCTGCTTTCCTTATACTATAAACACTGAACATCTCTAAATGGGCAGAGGCTCTCTCTCTTCAACATGCCAGGACTCAGTCAATTCATTACTTGAGAGCCCGGAAAATGGGCAATTGTTGTTTACCAATGATGCAAGAACATCACCAGCATGAAGATGAGCAAATTGAAAGCCTTGAGTCTTCTGCAAAGATGTTCACTGAAAGATCACATGCTGTCAGTGTCGACTGGAATTATAAAAGCACGATATAGCAACAGCTATGATGCAAAGAAAAAAGCACCCACAGGATCCAACCTTAGCACTAGATAGAGTAACATACTGGTAACTATATTGTCTCGGAGAAGGATGGCACTTATTTGCTTGATATTACAATGTAAAAACTAATATATATGTGGATAAATTAACTTAAAAAATTTGTAGGGATGCACGATGATATCGGGACAACATCGGTATCGGCCGATAAAAGCTTAAAATGACCATCATCGGCATCGGCCGATATGAATATTTCTGCCGATGAGTCTTGCCGATAGGGTGGCGTGTTTCCTATGCGCACGTGACCAGTGTTGCCAACTTAGCGCCTTTGTCGCTATTTTTAGCGACTTTTCAGACCCCTTTAGCGACATTTTTTCAAAAAAGCGACTAGCGACAATTTTAGCGACTTTTTGGACAAACCTCAGTAACCTCCAAATGTTGCCAGTCCTGTCCTGCGAGCGCGAGGTCTTCTTTCTCCCTGTCGTCACTCTCTCTAGCTGCGTCTCCCCTGTTCAGTGAATGGCTGAGAGGAGCGCACGGCCGCTGACAGACGCGAATGAGCAGTGTTTTTCCACGGACTTATCACTTATCTGCTTTTCTTTTGTTTTATATTTAAAGAATTTAGTTTGACCATTTTCATTTTATTTCTTTTCTTGTGCTTATTACTTGTAACACTCACTATCACAGAGATTAGTTCATCCGGTTCCCTAACTCTCTCAATTCAGATAATGTTCCACATAGGCCTTTACAAAATGTAATCATATTATAGCTACTCGTTCTATTGTCTGACAACAACAACAAAAAAGGAAATGAAAACAGCTTTATTTGACATTCGGCTATATTATATTAAATAGACTAATAGAGCATTAATTTAAAGAGAAAATGCACTAGGCTGACAGAACGAAAGTACGACGCGATGACGTCATTAATATGCTAATTGACGTATGACGTCATCTAGCGACATTTAGCGACTTTTAGGGAAGGCCTTAGCTACTTTCCTTTGAAAATAGTTGGCAACACTGCCGTGACGACCGTGAACGAAGCATGAGCGCCAGCAACTTAAACTTCCAACTAGGGGTGTGCCGTGCGTCTCACGGTTTTTGATCGTGGACGTGGACGATTAAAATGTCTCCACTATCTGCTTTTGAAGAAAAATCATAGTATCGTGCATTCTATCAGTTCAATTCTGGCGCCTTCATCTCAACATACTGTACAACGCGACGTACATTCACATCACATCACATGTAAACGCAGAGGTAGAGTTACACTCACGGGACACCGCAATTCACAAAAGTTCATTGTTTGCATGTGCGTCAAAGTCTTGCTAGGTAAACATGTCATTCACGTGCTGATGCGCTGTTCTAACATCCGCTTTTCTGAGCGCGTTACACCCGACGCTCACAGGAACTAAAAGCCTGTCACAGCGCCTGCATACTGGACTAATCTTTCGAGTCTTATTGCGCTGATACTGTCAAATACACAAAAGGTTTACATAAACAAAGTTGGTTATGTCTAAAGTGAAAGCAAACAGAGAAAATCTGCTTGTCAAATGCGTGTATATTAGACGCGTCGCGTTACTCGCGTGCAGTTCTCAAAGAGACAGTAATAATATTCTGCCGCTTGTCTTTAAAGAGATACTGCACCCAGAAATAAAAATTCTGTCTATCTAATGTTGTTTCAAACCTGGATTCATTTCTTTCTTGTGCTTAAATATACTATGGAAGTCACTGAAGTACAGCAACTGTTTGGTTAGCCACATTCTTCCAAATAACTTTTATAATTTCAACAGAAGAAAGAAACTTGAGAGAGTAAATGATGACAATTTAAATTTTTGGGAGAACTATCCCGTTAATGTTAATAAAACAACAAAACACAGAGGAAATCACTCACTGCTCTTGACTGAGAACATTAATAGAAGCTTTAATAAGCTTTTTTTGCACTTAAAAAAAATACAAATATATCGGTATCGGCATCGGGCAAAATTAGTTTGAAAATATCGGCATATCGAATATCGGCCAAAATCCTATATCGTGCATCCCTAAAAATTTGGTATAATTTTCACCTAGAGCATGAAGTACATTTTTACAGAACAATTTCACCAGTAACTCTACTTAGTTTTTAATAGTCTAGTCTTTGAAAATATGGAAAATAAAAAGTCTAATGTTAGGATTTTAGCTCGCTCAAAAAGCCCAATCATCCGTTTACTGATGTATCACATATCTATTTAAACGTACTTGATTGAAACGCAATTAATTTTAAAACTTTTTCCCACCACTTCTGTGACTAAAATAAGTATAATTTGCATCTGGTAAATACTACATAAATCTGAAACATCTTTAGTTAAAAAGTCTGAATTAATAAATAAATTAAAATATCCGAGTTGTGTTTCATACGGAAATCAAATTTCCTAGTGTTATATATATATATAATAGGCAGCAGAGAATATAATATGTGTGCTTGCTTCCTGTTTTTGCATTAGCTTCATAGCACATAGTTGTTTGCCAAGTGATATTCTTCTGTTACTGGGTAGAAACTGTTTGTTCCAAGCATAAACATATTGCCAGGAAATGCTTGATATCTTATGGTGTGCTAGACATGAATCCACAGAGCATCTCTCACTTCTTCTTTTTTTATTATCGCTCTGTCGCCGAGACATCATTGAAACGTTTCAGCCTTAGGTTATACCAGTGTTGATCAGCTTCAGTGTCTGGGTATCTCAGCATGATGTCAAGACCCAGTATTTGCAATTTGTTTCATAATCATTGTGTTTAGCACTTGCAAAGTAGTTGTTTGTCCATTATGAGAGCTTAAATGTAGCTCAGGACAGCAGTTAGCAGTCCCATATCGATCGTCTCATTGCTGCCACCAGTGGAAAAACAGCAGGAAGCCGGGTTATTAATGTGCAAATAAATGTCCAGTTCTGCATCTAGTGACACCTATCAACACCCTAACCATTATAAATAAACCAATTACTGCACCACTCCTCTGCAAGACCAATGAGGTGTATGTTGAGACCAGCTTTCCGACCAACAGCAGCTCACCAAACGGCTACTCTGGGGACTAAAACGGAAATTACGTTGTTATTATAATTAACCGACACCAGTTACACACCTTCCCCTATGAGAAATCAGGTTTAGCTATTAGCAAGAACTATCAGTGTCTCTGCTTATTCATCACAGCTAAAACCAATATCAGATACGCCATTGCAGAGGCCATTAGGGCTCCATGATGCAGATGGGAAATTTCAGCTTGAAATTGCCATTGGAGCCCGGTGCTTTGTTAAAAGGCATTGGTGTTGTGCTTATTTATGAAAATGTGAGGTAAAGTATGGGTTTCTTTATGACAGTTTCTGTACTTTGTGATTAATAAACAGATAAAGTACCATGGTAGAATTAATGCTGGCTTCACAACACATTCAATCAGAATTATCGTAAATATGAGTTTCCTAGTTAAAAATAATCTTAATAAGGAATCTCTGGGATAATTTTGATACACGAGTTCCCGAGTTGAGCGTGCCATAAACTATAAACATGACGGAGAGGAGAACGATTGCTGCTGTGACAGGTATGCTTTATTAGTTATTTCACAACAACATCGCCTTGTCTTATCATTAGAGTAGTGCATATTTGCATATATGAATAATCATTTGAAGCGTATTGTATGTTTGTATACACAGCGAAAATAGCCTGTATTTGACCGAAATTCCAGAATCGTCAGCAAGCTGATTATCTAGACAGCGCTGTGAATGCTTATATAGTTGTCAATGAATGGGGTGCTACATATCATTTTGGCTTTCCAAAGATTTCCCCAATAAATAGGAAAGAATAAACCTAGTGTCCTCCATTATTCCTGTTCTTTCCAACAACGAAGCACTTAAATGCAATGAGCTAATAATCATGAAAGTGGGAAATGGGAAATTTGCGCTAGCACATGAAGGCAGCATAATAAATGCCACATTATCATAACAACACATACTATTTATCCCATGATGTAGTGCATGTTCACTAACAAGAAGGGAAACATTTAATGACTATTCACGGCCTGTCACAATATCTCTATATAGCACTAAAAGGTTTTTTTAATCTTGTGAGATCTAATCTGATTGGCTGGCTTTATGCAACAAAGGTCAGGGTGCAAAGGTTTATTTCAGTCTTTGTCGTGTTTACAAAATATTTTGCTCTGTTTTCTTAGTTTTTAAAGGGATAGAAATTTAGATAACAAAGTCTGCACAAATTTCGTAATTACTAAATTGACTAAAATAAAAGAAAAATAAATTAAAGCTAAATTAACACTGCTGTGCAAATATTTTTCTTGCATGTTTTTTTCTTTATTTTGCTCTATCATTGTAGTATCAACTATTTCAGATAAACGCACTCCTAAATGGTACAGAAAAAGAAAGGAAACTGTGGTTTCATTTTATACTCAAGTCACATGGCCCCTTTTTAACAGTTTCTCCTATTCATATATGAGTGTAGTTTCCTCTCCTAAAAACCCCCAAGTCTGATTTTATGAAACCTACAAAACTTATGTACACATTTGCTGTGGGCTTAAACATTTTTTTGCAACTCACCAATGAAGAAGTGTTCAGGGGCATCATTTTCGGCTAAGAGGTTGGCCGTGTCTGGGTCAAACCTCAACCATAATCCCACAGCCAATACCACTGAGCCCGACAGCTGGAAACAAGAGTGAAACAAATCAGGAACATGTGCGGAAAATATTCACTTCACGCTGTTTCTGTGACCTTTGCTGGTCCTTACTCCATGTCTTTGATTTCAAATTCTGCACTGTCTATTTAGTTACAAACACATGAATGCAGAGTTTGACTTTGAGAACAGGATACTTTGCATTTTTCCCATCACCGTCACTGGAAGGATAACCTTGACTAAAATAGAGCATTGATTGTAATTCTGTAAGATAAAGTGTATTATTGTGATACTGAAAACAACCTTTTGTCCATCTGTAAGGTCATCAGAGAAAGTTTGTTTGCCTTCTAGTTATCAAGTCAAAGGAAAACCTACTAGACATTTTAGATTTACAAATTTTAGTAGTGTTGTGGTCAAGATCACCTAAACCAAGGCCAAGTCGAGACCAAGACCAGACTAACCTTCCTCAAATTCATCTGAAAGATTCACATTTACTGCCTTATTATTAATCAACTAACTATTTAGAATAATAAGACACTATATAGAGCTGTTACTAATCAAATGAAATCACTAACAACAAAATTAGTCTTTTCACATCAGAGTAACATAATAACATTTTGTTTATTGAACATTTGTATAAAATCAATATCACTTTTCAATTGTGTTCATATTTGTGAAAACAGCCCTCTTGCTCGTGATATTGCTTAATTATATCATATGTTATAATATAAATATCAAGATATCAAGTACTTTCTACAATTTTTTGGGCATTTGTATTCATTTTGGTGACATTTTTGACACAATTCCTTGTTAATTTCAGACCCGGCACAACAGTAACAAAATAAATGAAATTAGAAATAATTTATTGATTGCATTTGAAGCAGGAAGTTTAGCATCCAATTCCATTATGATGTTAACAAATAAATCAGACAATGGAACGGCAATTAGCGATATCCCCGATGTTGTGGTCTTGAAATAAAATCCAGAACCCTCTTAGTCTGAGACCGAGAACAAATGCGGTCGAGACCAGATCAAGACCTTCAAAAAATGGTCTTAAAGGGGTCATATAATGCCATTTTCATACAAGTTAATTTGATTCTTTAGGGTCTAAATGAAAAGATTGTAATATACTGTAATTAAAAATTCTCATTAGTATTGTAAGAAAACACTTATTTTACCTGGTCAAAAACAGCTCTGTTTTCAGCAGAAGCTTCTTTTTCCTTTTTCAGGAGAAGCTTCTTAGCAAAAACAGCTTTATACTGATCCTCGTTTATAAAGCAGTCTGGTGAGAAATGATTTGCGAATCGCGCAAACATGAGAGCATAGACGTTGCTCGTGGGGAATATTCCCTTCGAAAACAAAACTCAGCCACTGTGTCTTCAGCGGTTCGGATTTAGGAACATTAAAATGACTGCTGTGTTCGTTATTACACCCAAGAACAGAACACCACAATCACTTAGACGCCATTCTGCTCCAGCGTATCAACAATGGCGGACTATGATGACAGCTCGCTCAGGGCGGGGATGTGTTGAAACACTGCTGTCAATCAACAATCGTGGGAGGGGCGTCCGACCGTGTGACGTCACACGGTCGAACGGCTTGATTTGAGGCAGGGGAAAACATATAAGGAGATTAAAACAAAAACACTGGATAGATTTTTATCATTATATGATGGTTGTGTAAAGGCACTGCCAACACACATTTCAGTACAATCAACTTGTAAAAGTGCATGTACCCCTTTAAGACCGGTCTCGAGAACTACATGAGAACTGGAAATTTACCAAATGTCACTGGAAATTTACCAAACTGGAAATTTACCATTTCCAGTGAGTCAACAGTTAATGTTTGCTCAGTTAAATCAGCCTCAATATGCAATTTTGAAATGGTGAAATATTAATAATAATTATGACAGAACTCAGTTGAAAAAAATTCCAACTGATAAAACATTTTTTCCGATAATGACCTTTATATCTGATCATTTTGATTGCTAATATCAAACTTTTTAAATTCATAGTTTCGAGTTTTTATGACTTTTTGTCTTATGTGGCGGAAACGGGTTTTCATTTAAATGACTGCATAATCTTTGTGGAACAGGAGATTATTGCAAAGGCGACCAAATCATGAATGTTATCTGTGTGCAATTACATTTTTAGGTGTAAATTGAGTATCTAAACAGTTTTAAGGCCACTGTGGTCTACTTTGGTGCCCATCTCTATGATCAACAGGCAGGCTTGTGCCAGTGTGACAGGCTTGTCCTGCTGTATCCACCATCCCCCAGTGCCATCCCCTGCCCCCTCATACCCACCCTATGCAACACCAGGACATAAAACTGCACAGGACAACGACCCACTTCTTTTTTTGCCTGCCCTCTCAAAGACAAAGGCCTTGCTGTCCAGCGCAGTGAAACCACTCTACAGATAACCAATGACTGAAGCCACTGTGCCCTAAATTACATCTTACACTAACCATTTAAGCCAATCTAATGACCATTAGCGCAGTGACAAAATCTCAGTGTGATGTGGTCTTTGAATGGTTCCTATGACATTTGTGTGGTTTTGAGCAACAAAGACTAAAGAACGAAGAGAGGCTTCAAAAGAACTGCATTTAAACCCTTCATTAAAATAAAGCTGAAATCAAAACGTACCTTAAAATTATTCAACTAAAGCTGAAATAAAACTTAACTAAAGCTAAACAGAAAAATAAAAAACTACTAATGCACATAACAAAATTACTAAAACTTAAACTACAATTCAAAATAAAAGCCAATTCAAAATATTAATAAATGCCACAATAGTATAAAAATAATACTTATATAACACTGATCTAATTATACAATCTATTGGCTTATGCATAAGTTTAAGTATTTATTTATTTAGTCAAAATGAACATTTTCTCATAAATTACTTGCATCCATGTAATTCCAACCCTGTATAACAAAACTAGCCACACCAAGGTCATAAACCTTCTAAGACGCTATGGATAAAAGCGTCTGAAAAATGTAAATCACATTTCTTTAGCACAAAAACAAAACAAAATTACAGAGTTTTTGAGGCTGAGCTTCATTTTTACATTCAACAAAACAGGATGGTGATTTATACTGAAGGATAAAAAAGCACCATAAAAGTTTAAAAATACTGGTAAAGTATTGTCTACTAATAATCTTTCTTTAGATTTTAATATGAGGCCATGTAACTTGCAGCATAACAACTGGTCACGTGATACATGAAAACCAATGGCATTTATATCAGCGACATGATACACCACTTATGGAAGGCACAATTTTTTATTTGAGCATAAGCACAAATAGGAGGTGAAGATTATGAGCCAATAACAGCTTTCAGTCGCGAATTTATGCACTTATAGCACTAAACTGGATTTAACTTTTATTAAAGGAATAATAAAACGAAGTGTATAAAGCAACTGAGACCATAAAATGATCAAATATTAACCTTATCCACCTCACGGGACATACTGTAAAATTATTATCTGAGGACACTTAGTCTAGAATTACTTTGCATGTACTCCGCTTTGCATGTGACAAAAACGTAATCACCAATGTCAATGCGGCCTTATCTTTGAAGAAATGACAACACCATTGTTATATCCAGAAAAAAATTCTTCAGTTTCAATGGACCCTTCAGAATTCAATGCAGCCCAGTGAATAAAGGGGTGTTGAATGCAGCACAAGAGGGTTTTCAATAACTTTCCTTAGTAACCTGATCTTTGAGAACTAGCTTTGAAGGTTTGCCCATTCAGCATGTGCAGCTTGCATCTTAAAAAAAGTTTGAGCAGCCACAGAGGAATTGCAAAGCCCCTTATGATGGATTATGTATGTTGTTTGCTTCTTACGTACTGCAAGTATCAAGGTAAAAACGATCCTGTTAGTAAACATTCACATTCTATGATTTAGGGTACATATCACATTAGCAAAAAAGTGTAAAAACAATATGCTTCCTTAATCAGGCATGTGATTGGCTAAGGACAAAAAAGCAGGAAAATATAAAGAGCCCCCCCCCCCCCCCCCCATATTTTGGCTGAATATCGATATATATCCCGATGTTTTTGCCGCAAAGTGAGAGCAAATGTTCAGTCAAAGTCAAAGCCAAATATAGTCTTCACTGTATCAATTATACATTGATTCTTATTAAAGCTACTATTAAAGTTCTCAGTCAAGAGCAGTGAGTGATTTCCTCTGTGTTTTGTTGTTTTATTAACATTAAATAGATAGTTCTCCCAAAAATGTTAATTGTCATCATTTACTCTCTAAAGTTGTTTTAAACCTGAATAAGTTTCTTTCTTCTGTTGAAGTTATTTGGAAGAATGAGGGTAACCAAACAGTTGATGTACCCCAGTGATTTCCATAGTATATTTTTCCCTATGGAAGTCAATGGGGACCAGCAACTGTCTGGTTACCCACATTCTTCAAAATATCTTCTTTTGTGTTCATCACAAGAAATAAATTAATACAGGTTTGGAACAACATTACAGTGAATAAATAATGACAGATTTTTTTATTTTTGAGTCAACTATCCCTTTAAGGACAAGCGGCTGCATGTTTATTATTAGGGCTACTGTCTCTTTAAGACCTGTACGCGACGCGTCTAATATACACGCGCATTTGACAAGCAGATTTCTCTCAATTTTCTCGGTTTACTTTCAGTTTAGACATAACCAACTTTCCTTATGTAAACCTTGTGTGTATTTGAGAGTATTAAGACTCGAAATAAGACTCGAAAGATAACTTAGTCCAGTAACCAGGCGCTGTTAGACAGGCTTTTAGTGCATGTGCGCGTCGGGTGTTCGCGCTCAGTAAAGCGCATGTTAGAACAGCGCATCAGCCAGTGAATGACATGTTTAACCGGCAAGGCTTTAAAGTCCCCGTGAACCGGAAGTTGCAAATGACTTTTCTCCAGTGTTGTGACGTATTTCCGAGAGAAACGGAATACTAAATGAGGCAAAATAGTGGGCGTGGCTTTTTTCCAACTAGCACCTGATTGGATCTAGAAAAGTAGGTGTTTTCATTCAGTCTG